GTTGGCTGCCATGGGGCTCCAAACTTGGTTGATTTTACACTATTTTCAATGGAGCTTGAATTAGTTCAGTGCACCCTCGTGCGCTTTGCCATGGAGACGCATACAGTCATTCATGAAGCCGTAAAGTCAATCCGAGACGAATCTCAGAAACGTGTAAGTGCTGGTTAACAACTCTCGGAAAATGCGGAATTCGTCGATGGTGCGTGTCACTTTTCTCCGCATTAGTTGTCTACTCGGCGATACATGATTGATGAAGAGGATTATATCCTTGAAAGCTGAGAGTGGCGTTGTGCCGTGCACGTTTGATAAGTTCCATTCATTAACACTGAGGTCAATGACATTCAGACCGAGTCCTTCAAGTATATCGCCCAGGTTTGTTCGGTGTATTTCTCAGGCGGCCACACCTGATATTGTTTGAAACGAACAAGATGTGCTCGAACTGTTCATTGATTTATAATCTCCAACATAACAGTGCCTGACCTGATCCCACAAAGCGACTCTTGAAACTTCGGCAATTATGTTTTAATTCAGGTCTTATAACACTTTCGAGCAAAAACTTATCTTACGCAATAGGTTTCGTGCGTCCTAGGGTCCTAATTTGATGTGTGATTACTTGAACGCCGTGTCCGAAACGGGCTTCCAGAGCTACGCATACCAGGCAAGATATGGGACGGAGGGGGTACCCCCTTACCTTTCCAATCCCTATACACACGCTCTAGACTATTGTTACACATCCCCTAGAAGTCTGTAATGAATCCCTGAGATTCCTGTCAAACAATGACCAACACAAAGGCGGGGGGGGGGTTTCTCTATCTCCGTCCTATATCTTGCTTCAAATGGAGCTACGGCTAGGTCTATTGTCCGCGTGTCTCCACGTACTTTCAATGCAGTGAAGACCCAGACCTAGGTCTATCTAGCAGACAACAGATTCGGATGCAGCCTATTAAGTATATGTTACCCCTGCCGTAGCGATAGCCCTCTCATTCATCATTATTTTCATTTCACGCTCATTTTGTATATAATGTAGTGTTTTCCCTGTTTGTAGTTTTTTGTACTGTCTTGTAATGGCACGCCTGACATAGGCTTTTAAGGTTTTGCCACCTTTAGTGGCCTCTGTATCTCATACATTGTTAGTACCTGTATTTTTCCATGAGGAAAGAATAAATGTAATTGAATTGAAATTTATGTATCAGGCATCCCAATGAAGATATGAAAACATGAATTTATGTGTTGAGAAAATCCTGAGTGTCCCTCTAAATACATAGGTCTTTCTGAGGCATACGGGTGATTCACAGTAGTGCGCCTCCAAGTGCAACGCGTTAACCAATCTCAAGGCAGGAAATCTGTCGACCCTTTCCAAACGCGCATTGGGTCGACAGATTTCGACTTTATTCAAAAGTAACTATGGCGACTTGTAGACAATCACGGTTGCCAAGTACCAGGGTCAAAAAGCTTTTTGTCGTACTCTTTTTAATCTACAGTTTTTTTTTTCATTCCAACGTAGCTCGCCCATTTCCAGGCGTTGTGGCCACTGTTTGTACATCAAACACGGCAACACCTTGATTCCACAAATTCTGACCCTACAAACCTGTAACTTCCTTTGAAAGTATGTTTTTCTACACAGGGGAAGTGTTTCCGTAGGGGGTATACTCGCGCATTTGCATATCACGGGCACTCATCCGGGCCACTGTGGGAGTGTACACGCCAACCTTATCGTGTCGTGGATCTCTTCAACAGGCTGAGTTTTGAAATCGCACACTGTTCCGCAAGGCCAAACTCCTAAATCCAACGCTTGTCTATGACGTTCATTAAAAGGATTTGTGGTATCACGTGACCAAATTCATTTTTTTAAGGCTGGGCAGGCACTGTTTCTAAATTCTTTGAATTGAGCTAGTAGGCAAATATACCGTTTTTTTTTTAAATCTTCGAAACAATGCAATTTCATCAGCAGAAAGTGTACAACCTCGAAAATACAGGCGTTATGATATATCAAAACGATAAATTGTTCCCCCTCCCCTTCTGTCTTTGGGGAGAGTTAGGGTATCCCCCTACCAATTGTTCAGACTTTTCGCCCACACCATTGCCATTGTTGGATTGCCCAATTTCGTACTTTATCCCTGGCCCTGTAGAGCACGTGAGAGAACCATACCTTTTATAAGCCTACTGACCGGCAGAACAGGTTGAAGTGGTGCATGTACACGTATATCATATTTACATTTCCTGTTATTAGGCAGTCGTGCGATGAGGAAGTTGTCAGGTACAAAGGTACGCGCTGCTGGTCACGTAGACTAGAGTACATTGCAAAATTTGTTGCCTGGGCTGGGAATCTGTTTACTGGATGCAGAACATCAAACGGGCGCTTGACGTAAACACTGCTTCGGATTTGGTAAATACAATTAAATGTGATCCACTTGGAACATTACGTGATTTATTGTCAACTCCCCTCTCCATCCGATTGAATCTTTTTATCTTGATGAAGTTTGTACCAAGCGTTATCGAGTCACTGTTGATTCATTAGGGCACTGCACTGTTGGACTGTCATTATTCTACAGTGTAGAGAGGATCTAATGTGATTTTGAGGGTGTGGGTTTTTGATAAGGGTTGACACGGACACGTCCTTGTCACATGCGCAGTGCAATAACGATCTATGCTAATCATGTCCCTTCGTCCTTTCAAATATGTATGTAGGCCAACCCCAAGGCTGCAAGCTCCGATCTCGGCTCAATTAAGACAGCATGGCCGATATGAGAAATGTCATCGTCATCGCTCTTGTAGCGACTTTTCTGACGCTGTCAGCAGTGGAGGCATGTACGTACCCTATACAGTTATGTTCGCAGAGTTTTTGCGTATAATTTGTCGCGTTGGATAAGCTTCAGTTACGGTTTAGCTTTGTGCTTCGGTGCCGTGCGCGGTTCACACTTTTATGAGAAAGTGCAAGCTGAAAACATAATGAAATAGGGTCTGCTTTGGTTTTATTTAAAGGAAATAAAATGGATCCTGTTCAAAGTTCACCTAGTTTGCATTTTCCTATACTTACTATTTCTTCTGTTTTGTTAACGTATAGTCACGTGTTATGGCAGCACCACGTGTCCTAACGGAGGCACGTGTATCGAAGATGATCTCTGTGCGTGTGTCCAAGGCTACTTCTCCCCGAGATGTGAAGGTAAGCAAGTAAGAGACCAAAAGAGGGCGTACGCATACAGAGCAGCAACTCTCCCCTGCGCGTCCAATATTATTTACAAAACACACCAGGAAAAACTCAGTTCCAGGGAAACGTGCGCCCCCGCGGGTTGCAAAGCCTGGAAAATAGTGACATTTCTTTGGTCGGTATGACGTAATTTCTTCTTATCCTCATTGCATATAACCCGCCGTGCCTTTGCTCTCTTCACAAAATTGTATGAAGAGAAAGAGAAAGTTAGACAGGCCCAGCATGTACCCCAATAGGACGGTGGACGGAAATGCCGGACATTTCTTGTAATTTGTACGTGCGGCTACTTCTGCTACGTTGCCAACAGCTTATCTATGAATTTCTAGATGAAACTTTCACCCACATGAGTAAAATACATGTCTCACTTCAATATCCAGTTTCACCTGCGGCATTTGGGCACCGCCGGTCCGTGACAGACGGTGCGCCGGGAATCATCTATACATCGGTGATCCTTCCATTTCTCCACTCATCACAGTTGGAGAAAAAGTTCCTTTTTGTCTATCATTAATTTTGTCTGGCTTTTTACCAAAGTGTGCCGACCGATTGATCACTGCCCGGAGGTGTTTTGTAGCAATTACTACGATGCTAAGTGTATACGATGCGACGGCGACTTCGGGCCGACTTTTGGAAGTGCCTACGAAAAGACGGGCGATCAGAGAAGATGCATCAGTAAGTCGGCTTCTGTAAACTTCTTCATTTTCCCATTAGATGTCACTTTTAATGGAATAATGCAAACCCTGGGTGTTTTTCCAATTATCAAATCAGTTTCAAAAAAACAAAAAAGGACAATAGTGAAGAGAGTTGTCGAATGTTGTTAACGACTCCTGAGGGCTCACTTCTGTTGCAGCAGTCAAGAGGCTGGTTCCACAGTGTGTGTTTGAAAATTATGCTTAAAATTATGTGAGAAGTCTGGAATTTTTACGGTAATCTCGGTCTGTTTGGCTGTTTTCCGATACTCAACTTGGGTCCGTCGGAGGCTTCAACTGTTTTTTACTTCCTGACTTTGAGGTTATAAGCGCAATAATAAGTCTGTTAGTGCCACAAGACATCAAGTAAGATGCAAAAGAGCCAAACATTACAGTATTTCAATTTAAGTTAAATATTTCAGGCCCACAATCGAGGATTGGCTTCCTACATGAAGCCTCAGACGGAGACGAAGTTGAGTATTGGAAAACGGCCTTTGTCACGTGGGTGGCAACACTTTGGTAGCATAAAAAGGTTCGATAGTAGAGCGAGTAATGAATATGCATATAATGACGTCACCAAAATAATTATTAGGCCGACATTTAACCAGTCCTCTTTCTGCCGTCGTGCCACCGCCATCTACTGTCGCCCCATTGTTACTTTTAAGGGTGCAGACCACTGATTTCCAGTGAAAAAACGGAGGCCAACCTCTCCACGAGAGTCAACAGGCGGCGCTATTTCGGTCCTATTTTGCACTATTTTCGTGTAGGGTGCAGACCACTAATTCAAGTGCGAATTTCTGGCCAGCTCATTAGCATTAAAAGTGCCCCCACCCACAGTATCTTTTGAAAAAGGAGATTGTTTGGCCCCCAAAATGGTGAGATTGTGTAAATCGTTGCCAGGATCAACTCCCTGGGTCTTTGAGCCTTCATATGAGAGCAGAATGGCTAAAAACTACGGTTGAAAAATGATTCTAAGTGCCTGAGAAAGTTGAGGGTTGCCACTTGAAAAATGGCTGCAGTCAGACTTCGGAAAAATCACGTTTTGGGGGTTGATTTTGTTTTGTGGGAATAATTAAAAATGTAATTAGTTAACCCACAAAAAATTGAATAGAAATTGAAAGATAAGTGACCAGATAAGAATTTCATTTGTGTTTCAGAAATCTCAGGGATGTTGGCGTGCATGCTATTGGGCCCTGAACGGTGCTGATTTTACACTGTTTTCAATGGGGTTTGAATCAGTGGACTGTACCCTTTACAAGTCCTCTTTCTACTGTCGCCGCCCCACTACCTTCTACTGTCGCGCCCTAACCCTTAACCGAGTCAAGTCCTCTCGAACGTACGTGCTGTATGTGACGTCACGAATATAGCCTGATGACGTCAGATCGTGCATATTCATTACGCTCTCTACTGTCGAACCTTTTTACGCTACCCCAGAACTTTCTGTCAAAGTGTCAGTTACTGGCATGCCTGACTTCTTGCCCAGTAAGGTGTAACTGGAAGTGTAAGTGCAGTAGACTTTGTATATTTCAATATATTGAAACGGTGGGGAAAGTCTCAGGCTAGCGCCATGAGTGCGAGGCCTTAATTTTCCTATGCGGTCATTCCTCATTGGTTGTGAATTTCAGCCAGCTATTTTGTTTTAGGCCACGGCCATTAACCAGCTTACTTGGCATGTCCTAAAAGTTCAAATTTTGCAGGGAATCAAATGAGGCCTTTACGTAGAAAACATCTGGGATTTGTTTAGACCAGCTGACCAGTCTGAAAGTTTTTTTTGGGGGGGGGCTACTCATGGTGCAAGCATGGTGCAGGTGATGTCCAGATTGTAGTGCAGTTTTTGAATATGGTCATAGTTTCGTTAGAATGTTTTCCAAAACAAAAGGGGAACACTTATAAATTTTTCAGACCAGTCACCAGGGTTTGTGCACAGGTTGTTAGTGATTTTCATGTATGGAACTCACTCCCAAAAATACTGTTTTGAATTTCCAATCTTTTTTCCCCTCATGCTTATACTAACATTAGAGCAATGTTCATGGAGAAGCGACAGCAATGCCTGCTTCCCGGGATCCTGCACCGATGCCCAGTGCACCTGCAGCAGTGGATTCTCCGGAGACGACTGCAGAACAAGTGAGTCTCCATGCCGAACCTAGCCCCATCAATGTTGGCTAGATTATTGGCCATGACTACATCCTGGCTTCAGGTCTTAGCTGAGCCCTGTTTTTTGGAGAAAAAGGGCTAAAAATTTGGCATGTGTGACGTGTTTAGATGGAAACACAGACATGACAGATGCATTTGTCATCTTTAGAGAAATCAGTTTAAAAAAAACCAGAGCACATACACTTTGTAAACATATTGAAGCTGTCCATTAGAACCCTTAAAAATTTTAATAGGAAGTGAATCAAAATTGTTGCAAAGGAATCACAAACAGGTGGATAAGTTTCCCCCATGGTGAAATTGGCATTTGCTTTTGCACGTAAACTTGATTTGTTTTCCAACTTTAATGTGGAGACTGGTACTCAGTTGTTTTCTGGTATCGACATACGCAATACACATGTAGAGGCTGGGCTGTTTTCGTTTTTAAGATCACCCACAATCTTTCATGACTTTTTTAGAGACTTTGTAGGATCAAGGAAGGTCAAACCCCAGGTATATACTGTTATATTTCCCATGCCCCTCGGAAGTTGGATGTTGAATGGAAGGGCGCCATGGGTTTTGCTGGTCACTCGCTAAGTTTTCATGATTTCATCACTTGGAATTTTATTTACAGAGGAGATAGTTTGAAAGTGTCTATGTCCGACTATAATGCACCCTTTGGCAAGACAGCTTTGAGCAGTAACTGGAGTCTTTTTAAACTTGTCTGTAAGCCGTAGCCGTTGGGCATCACAGCAGTTTTCCATCTGACTCTAATCTGCAGTGGAGGAGGGGCAGGCACCAGTTATGTCAGAGCTCCGCGCAACGCTCCTGGCGGGGACGACCACACAGGAATTGGGGCGCGCCCGGAATGACACCGCCACGCTCGACATCAACGGGCAGAATTTCACCGACGTCCGCATCCACTGGAAGTGTTCATACCAACCCACAGGACTCCCAAACCCCAGCGTGCTGGATGGAGCCGGCCAGCCCGTCTATCCCTACATCGCCAACGTCAGTTTGGGCGTCGTGTCTGCAAGTGTCACAGCCACGGTGCACCGTAAGTTGTTGCAGATATTGACAATGTAACTGCGTTTGACTTTTTTAGTTAATAACACGAACTGATTTGTAATCTATTCAGCCGTAAGTCAACTGCAAATTGTTCAGAAATTTTGAGAATTCCGGAGTATCAAGACAAGTCATTTTCAGTCTGAATCACAATCACAATACGCTGCAAGGACCGATCTGCTGACGTGACCTCTAAACCATATCCTAAACATCTCCTCAACACATGAAGTGCTTTTACACCCAGTTTCTTCTTAGAATTTCTCGCTTTTGTCTGATATCAGTCGCCAGTGGTGGAACATACACTCTGGGTTCTGAAAACTGCCCTGCCGCCGGATCTCAGGATGACCCAGCTACTAGCCTGGTCATCTGCGAGTACACGTTCGATATAGACGGCAGCATCTGGACCCCCTCTGATGGGGATGTGTAAGTGTGATTTTAGTACACTTGTGTCTTCTCTTTCGGGTGCAGAAATAAAAAACGGTTTCCTCGTTTATTCGGTAATACTCATGGGGTGAAGTCGAGCCTGTCATAAGTCCCTGCAAGCCCGCTCAAGTCAAGTCACAAGCTAGTCAAATGAGCTGTGACTATTAAAAGCACTACTTCATCATTGTTCATCTTGCTGCTTGTGGCTAGTCTTGTGGCTGGTCTTGTGGCTGGTCTTGGGGCTGGTCTTGGGGCTGGTCTTGNTGGTCTTGTGGCTGGTCTTGTGGCTGGTCTTGTGGCTGGTCTTGTGGCTGGTCTTGTGGCTGGTCTTGGAACTGGACTCATGAAAACACTTGCCACAGACTCAACTACAGCCATGCTTGTCAATGGAGTCTGGGAAACCATTCTGGAATTTGTCATTTCTGGATTAACTCTACCCCTCCTATGTCCTTTGGAGTCCACTGACTGGTTCTGTGGCAGTATGGAAGATCAGGAAGGTTGAGCCCAGCTACTGTTACCTGAGACTGGCCTTTGAGCTCCTTAAAACCTTGCTTTCCTACAGAGAGGATTTGGAGGGTGAAACATTCCTACCGAGGATAGCGAGGGTTAGGGTTAACACTCCCTGTCGTTGACTGCTTGAAACCCCTCCAGCATTGCCTGCACATTTTAGCTTAGAGATTCAACCCATACCTGGCTGAACACATTCGCTTGATATTGATTTTGACGTCACTCGTGTTGACTCCACTCCAGGCTGACGTACATCGTGGACGCCACAAATGGGGGATACATGCAACTCTACGATAGGGACAATTCCAACAACATCATCACTCGGTACTACGTCGGCCGGACCGTCTCCGCCTCGGCTAATTTCACCTTTGACCTGGACAGCCCCTACCACTGTGTGAATGTCAGCGCCGGGTGTCGAACCACCATGCTCGATGCTGGAGATGATGTCACCGTTGAGGTTAGAGTTGAAGAACTACTACACGGTTGATGTGCAGTATTGTACATGTATTTGAAAAATGCTTAACATAAATGCAACAATGGGGCATTCCACCTGTCTACCGTGATTCTTAGATGCAGGCCAAGTTCAAGCGATGACCCTTTTTTTTACTACTGGTTGATTTGCACTGGTAACCTGTGCACAAATATGCCCCGGGTACCAGGCAGAATTGACCAGTGGTTGACAAGTGGTTGCCACTCGAACTTCCATGTTCGTGAGTGATTAAAAAGGGTGTTGGCAGCATTGCGGTGAGGGCTCCCACTCTTCGACTGAGGGTGTGTCCGTTTTTGTGTGCTTAGAACTTGGGCAAGGTGCTTTGCAAAGGCATGACCTCATGGCAACAACAGGTAGGGCCACCTTTCAGGGGTGAATTCATTCGAACAGGGTCAGATTCAATCCTGACCCCTCTTGTGAGAAATGAGAGCATTGAAAAAGGACCTCTTCGCTTGTCTCAACACCCAACGTTTTCCCAGCATGTGTTGACTACCACATGCGAAGGGACGGGCGATGCACACAAAACAGCCCAGTCAAAACGCCCTCCACATCAGTTTCACTGTAGAGTGCCCTCGTCTGCGCATGCGCAGAGCTGCAATCACAGAGGGCTCGAAGTGCAGTAGCTCAGGTCAAGCAGTGTGGATTTGGATAGCATGTTCCATTGGTGACACGCATCCATTAATTTGTCATTGTTTCATTTGCCTATTAAGGCTGATATCACGATCACGTGGAGTGATTGGGCAGATGACCTGTCTGGCATTGGTGAGTACGACCTGCAGGTGCGTCAACTATCCGGCGGCCACGGCGATGAGATGACCGAGACCTTTGATGTACCGGCTGTGTACGCCGGCGCTGCTGTTTCTGGACAGACTGTCATGTTACCTCACCCAGGTAGGTGCGTGCGGCAAAATATTCTCCTGACGTTCTGTAAGTTTGATAGAAATTTACCGAGCTAGGTATTTGCAAGATTGTTTCTGAATATTGGAGTCTGGTAGCGATGTCTCTCCAAATTGTTTCTTGCCTTCTGGTGCACATGTTCTGTTCAGCTTGAGTTGTGCAGAAAAGACTGTAACTTTAAAAAATGTTTACAATTGAAGGAGCATTCTAAAATTTGACTCTTGAACAAATCTGTGCATTCTTGATACAAACGCCATGGGTGTGTGTACGTTAAGTGGGTTATAAATGTTATGCATATTTCTGGTAATTATCCTACAGTGTTTGTGTCAGAGAGCTTTGAGCCAGGACTGTGGACCTTTGAAATAAGTTAACTTTCAGTTGTAATAAAAAAAAAGAATTCGGTCAAAAGTTATTAATGCTTGTCTGAGTGTGGTAACGGTTTCATGTATTGTCTTTCTCTGCAGGTGTGTACTCCATTGTTTTGACAGCCTCCGACAAGTCTGGTAACACCCGACTCAGCAGACGTTTTGTGCTCTTTGATGATGATCCCGACGATGTCACCACCCAGAGCCATGCCCCTCTGCGTGTCCTGTCGGCGAGCACGGAGACAGGCTACACGTGGGTGACTGATCTTGGCCTGCCTGGTGGCACCACTCCTATTACCTTGAGCTGGTTTGAACATTTCACCAATGCACACCATCGTAGCCAAGGACTGCTGAAACCCATTGGCTCATACGCTGGCGGTGAAATTGACACTGGTGAGTGTACTGGATGAGTGGAGTACCCGTTGAGGGCGCTATATATTTCACCACCGTAGTAAAAGCCAAGAATGGGCACTTGAATGCAATTCATGGTTCACATTCCTAAAACACGTTTTGATTTTCATTTTAATTTCCCAGCCTATGACCAGAACTTTGGTTTACGCGGCCGGGCAGCCATCCCCAATGCCCTGGGTGTGACGCAGTTCCGTGTTCTTTACGACATCGACCACAGTGGTGGCAGGACCATTGTCAATGCCAGCCGCAATGACTCAGACGACTGGAGGAATTTGAACACCACCACGCAGGTGACCTACGACCTGAGCCTCGTGGACGGCGATTCCATTCGGTTCTGGGTGGAGGCCAGAGATGTCACCGGACACTCCCTGAGGGACACCGTACTGACTCACGTAGATTCCTCACCACCAGTTGTTGACGGTGGAGATGGTACTTTGGCAGTTCCCAGTTCCGCTGATCTGGACAATGTGGGGTGAGACTCAGTATTTCACAAATTGTAAATGTTAGCAGACATTGTACTGACTACAAAAGTCCACTGGTAAAGAGACAAAGCACTGAGGATTTATGCAGTGGGTTAATGACTTGCTGAGAATATCTGAGGACTTGTTTAGGACTTTTGAGGACACGTAATGGGCTTTTGATAGACTTGTAATAAACCCTTAAGGGCTTTGTTGGACTTGTTAGGATTTGTGAGAACATGTGATGGATTTGTGAGGACATGGAAGGGACTTGTGATGGACCTATATGGACTTTAGTGGACAGACTTGCGATGGACCTGGAAGAACTTACACTTTTGAGAACGTGCGCAGACTCGACTACATTGGTGATGCAAATCTTGATTCAGGTTTTGAAGGAAGTTTTCTTCATTTCAGGGTGGCCTTCCGAGCGTACGACGTGCACAGTGGTATCCGGACCATCGAGTGGCGCATCTTCATCAACCAGTCTGACACAGAGGTGGAGCTCGCCCGTCAAACGTTGCCCCCTGTGAAGATTGACCCTGTAAGTGCCCCCGGCACATTGTCTTCGCACTCCGCTACTCTGTCTAAAATAAGCCTGTAGGAGGGAAGAAATTAGGGGGCGGGGATAATTTCAAGCAGAAAAAGGGCTGATTCTCAGTGTCTGTAAAATTCCTTTCTCGCCATTTTCAGGATTTACTACGTATTAGTGATTTCAACACTTCATTGGTGATGTTAATTTGGAGGTTTTTGGCCCAGAGAAATTTGGAGTCGGTTTCAAAAGGAATTTGTGAACATCTGGACTGGAATCAATGCCAAAACTTGTGATTATGAAAGTTAAATCTCTTCGTGTTTTGTTGTCATTGAAACCAGGCCACGGAGGACTGTGATCCCAGCAGCTGTCTGTGCATACCACTGGGCGACTGCTACGCCATGTATTACGGTTTTAATCCGGATGTCCACATTGGCGGCCACAGCTCTGATTACTTCGTCGGGCTGACGGTCACCAACCATGCCAGACTGGTGGCCAACAAGACCATCAAGGTATGCCAGAAATATGTTGAATGGTTGGCCATTACTGAGACTATCATCTCTGTGCAGCAACATTGAGGGCGCTCTACAGTCTACTCGCAAGAAACACTATGAAAACATTGCTTATGACTGAACATAAGAAAATGAGTCGCAAGTGCCCCAGAGCTACTTTTGAGTTGAAGTGCTTAAACAAAAAATCTTGTACAAAGTATAATCAATTGAATATATTTGTTTTTCACCTACTTCACGTCTGTCTTCATCAAGATGCCAAAATGAGTGATACAGCCCAGTTTGCTCTTGCTAATGTAAGCTGTTAAAACAACATTACTGAACAGTATGACCTTAAGACTCGTTTTGTGATATCATGTTTCAGTTTGAAGAGTAGTCGATTGTGTCAACAGGAAAACCTGCCGTTTTTCGCTCATTTCAGATTTGCACACAATTTGCCGAAGGTTTTTCAGATCTCGTCCCAATTTCAATCCAAGCAGCGATTGTAACTCCCAGTAAAATTGATCACTTTGATATCTGCCACGCGAAAGGTCACGGTGGACTCCACGCCCCCGGAAGCCGGCGTAGTGCATGATGGGATGCTTGGGTCCAAGGAGGTCGACTACCAGGTGGGCCGCGACCTCTGGGCCCACTGGGAGGGTTTTGTGGACCGAGAGAGTGGGGTGGCATTCTACCGTTACCTGTTTGACGACTTGTGCTGGGATGACTCAACGGCAATTGACTCTGTACAAGATAATGTGAGTTTGTAAATGTGCATAGGTGTAAAAATCATTGAGTATAGTTATAAATAAATCACCTGATGAATATGATTGTTATTTTCCTGACCTTACCTTCTTTTCTCGGTTTTTATAGTTCTGCGGAGTGGTAAACATTGCTTGGTAAATTTATGTGCTAAGCAGAGATCAGCAGGGAGCCAGTCAGTGGCAATATGCATTTGTATCAGTTTTTGGCCGGTAACCGGTTTTGCTAAGCAGATGCACACTCTGCTTATAGCAACTCGGAGAACGTGGCCCCAGGGCCTTCCTCTGTGATCCAACTTTGGAGAATTTTTCATTAAAATCAGTTCTGAGACAGCCTTTGGCCTCATACTTGAATTAAAGTGACTTTTTACCCGCAAACTTCCAGGTTTTCAGGATAAACATGTTTCATGCTTTGTAATTTTTATGTCAGGAATGCACTATGAAATCAGTTGTTCTGCCTTGAGTGATTTGATCACAAGGATAAAAGTGGTTGTTGAAAATGTAAAATGTGGGGTTTCTTGGTTATTTCTAAGATGACGCAAACCTCGTCCACCCACGCCAGTTGGACCGCCCCCTCGCCGGGCAAGTACCATGTGACCGTCGTTGCATACAACACGGCTCAGGAGCCCTCCGAGCCCGTCTGCTCTGATGGCGTCACAATTGATGCCAGCCCACCCGAGTTGTCCCAGATTGCCATCAAACGCACCCGGGCCTGGCCTGGCCTGGCCAAGGATGCCGAGGGTCGGGTGTGGCTCATCACCGAGCACCTTAGAAAGATGGAGCTGGTCAATGCGTCCAGTAACTGCAGGTGGGGGCCCAAACCTTTACACTAATGCCGCGGCTCTAACGTTGGCTTCTGTCTGCAGCGTCCATCTCCAACTAGGTTCTGAGATCGCAACTCAATGTTGATGGAGTTTTGCAACAGACGATGCCGAGGAGCCAACATAAAATTGTGAACAAGCCCCTTACAGACTATAAATTTATACTTAAAGTACACCCGCTGTATAACTTAAGCAGCACTCACAGATCCAGAAAACACATTATCATTACATAGTTGTGCAATTTTCATTTTGACAGTTCTGTGGCCACCCCTCTCACCGATTTGTCGATTTATCCCGATGTCACAGCCTCTGAGGCGAGATCCCAACAAGACATAAGCTGCCAGGACTTCTCGGGCTTTGAGGAGAAACTCTTCCTTCCCACACACAAGCATGTAAGTCTCCTTAACACATTGCGTTATACAATTTCTGCATGTGTGGGTTATGGCATAGCACGTTACAGGAACCTTGAAGTGAAATTAGAGAAGTTAGTGAAGTAACAACTGCGTAGCCCTGCTTCACTATTACCAAACAGTGCGTGGTGAATGCGCGGTGAGTGCACGGTGAATGCGTGGTGAGTGTGCGGTGAGTGCAGGGTGAATGCGCGGTGAGTGCACGGTGAATGCATGGTGAATGCGCGGTGAGTGTGCGGTGAGTGCAGGGTGAATGCGCAGTGAGTGCACGGTGAATGCGCGGTGAGTGTGCGGTGATATGCACATGAATTTGCTTGATGACATTGTGTGTTGTTTGGACGAATTGATGTTTTATAGTTCCATCTTTTTAAAGGCAGTTCATAAATACCTCAGACAGTCTCCCTATTCAACAATGTGCAACTTGACCGCGTATTAACATTTGATAATGCCCACTGAGAAGTGATAATGCCCACTGCGTAGATCACGCGCTGGCGCCTGGATTCAAGACAGTTTAATGGCTTCTAATTGGTCAAGAGTCTGTGTGCGTGTGGTTTGCCACGTGCGCGCCAAGTCCATTCAAGGAGGTTCTTTTGGACAACTTGTACAAGGAATATACCATAAATGGATGGGGATGTTGGGGAAAATGAAAGTAAAATTCCAGAACACAGTTGTTGGAAATCCATCATGTATTGACATCTTTTGACTCTCTGACTAAAATAGGTACCTAGGATTGGTATAAATGTGTGCTGACAATTAAATGTGTCCATTCCCCTGAGCCGGTCTTAAATGCATGTTTAAGACCAGCCAAGCACATATTTTTTCCCTTATTAATCCCTTCGCTACTGAGGACTGCTACTACGGCACCACTGTGTGAGGATTAGTGCATACCACGCATACAGTCTATTCA